TTTCACTCTTTTTTTGTCCGTTTTTGTTCTTTTTGTTTGTCTTTTTTTGGTCTCTTTGGTTCCATTTTTGTTCGTTTTCTAACTCAGTTTTCAAGAGTGGACACAAAATAAGGAAAATCTATCTATCTATCAATCAAAATCTGTCTATCAAAATCTATCTCTCTATCTAAATTTATCCATCTATCTGTCTAAAAGGTCAGGTCTTGGTCTTTTTGTGTCTGTTTTTGGTTTCTTTGGTTCCATTTTTGTTTGTTTTCTAACTCAGTTTTAAAAAATGGACACAAAATGATGAAAATCTATAAATCTATCAATCAAAATCTGTCTATCAAAATCTATCTCTCTATCTAAATTTATCCATCTATCTGTCTAAAAGGTCAGGTCTTGGTCTTTTTGTGTCTGTTTTTGGTTTCTTTGGTTCCATTTTTGTTCGTTTTTCAACTCAGTTTTAAAAAAAGGACACAAAATGATGAAAAACTATAAATCTATCAATCAGAATCTATATACAGTATCTATCTAAATCTATCCTTCTATCTATCCATCGATCTATCTATCCATCTATCGATCTATCAGGTCAGGTCTTTTTGTGTCTGTTTTCTCTCTTTTTTTGTCCGTTTTTGGTCTTTTTGTTTGTCTTTTGTGGTCTCTTTGAACACAAAATTATGAAAATCTATAAATCTATCAATAAAAATGTATCTATCTATCTATCTGACTATCTCCCCTCCTTCTATCTGAACTGCCCCCCCCTACCTGGGCCACGTGGATGAACTTGGTGAAGACCTGGGCCCTCTGCTGGGCCGTGTGCCTGCTGAGGATCATGAGCTGGACCCACTGGGACACGCCGTTGCACATCATGACCGAGCGCTCCAGCGCCGGGTTGTCCCGCACCGAGCCGCGCACCACGTAGCTGTGGTAGTCCAGGAACTGGGACCAGACGGGGGACGGGTGTTTAGGGGGGTTAAGGTGCACCTTTGGGGAGTTTAAGGTGCATTTTGGGGAGTTTAAGTGCATTTTGGGGGCTTAAGGTGCACTTTTGGGGAGTTTAGGTGCATTTTGGGGGGGTTTAAGTGCATTTTGGGGGAGTTTAAGTGCATTTTGG